ACAACTTATCAAAATTTGAGGGATGCAGAGAAAGCAGTGCTAGGAGGGAAATTTATTTTATTTATTTATTTTTTAAATTTTATTATGTTATGTTAGTCACCATACAATACATCATTAGTTTTTGATGTGGTGATCCACGATCCATTGTTTTCGTATAACACCCAGTGCTCCATGCAGTATGTGCCCTCCTTAATACCCATTACCGGGCTAACCAAACCCAACCCCCCCTTCCCCTCTAAAACCCTGTTTGTTTCTCAGAATCCATAGTCTCTCATGGTTCATCTCTCCCTCCGATTTCTCCCCCCTTCATTTTTCCCTTCCTTCTCCTAGTGTCCTCCATGCTATTCCTTATGTTCCACAAATAAGTGAAACCATATGATAATTGACTTTCTCTGCTTGACTTATTTCACTTAGCATAATCTCCTCCAGTCCCATCCATGTGGATGTAAAAGTTGGGTATTCATCCTTTCTGATGGCTGAGTAATATTCCATTGTATATACGGACCACATCTTCTTTACCCATTCATCTGTTGAAGGGCATCTCGACTCTTTCCACAGTTTGACTATTGCAGACATTGCTGCTATGAACACTGGGGTGCATACAGCCCTTCTTTTCACTACATCTGTGTCTTTGGGATAAATACCCAGGAATGCAATTGGTGGGTCATAGGGTAGCTCTATTTTTAACTTTTTGAGGAACCTCCACACTGTTTTCCAAAGTGGCTGTACCAACTTGCATTCCCACCAACAGTTTAAGAGAGTTCCCCTTTCTCCACAACCTCTCCAACATTGGTTGCTTCTTTCCCTGTCCATTTTTGCCATTCTAACTGGTGTAATGTGGTATCTCAATGTGGTTTTGATTTGAATTTCCCTGATGGCTAATGACCTACACGACAGGGAAGAGGCATGAAGCACGCATATTTAAGGGAGGCCCATGAGAATAGCATCGATTCAGATGATCAGAGCCGAAGGAGCCTTTAAATAGAACTTGGATCTAGGAGGGAAATTTAAAGCACTGAAGGGATATATTAGAAGAGAAGAAAGATCTAAAATCAACCATTTAAGCTCCTACCTTAGAAAACTAGAAAAAGAGCAAATTAGATCCCAAGTCAGCAGAAGTAAATAAATAGTAAGAATTAGAGCAGAAATCAAATTGAAAACAGGAAACCAATAGAGAAAAAAAATGAAGGGCACCTGGGTGGCTCAGTTGGTTAAGCAACTGCCTTCGGCTCGGGTTATGATCCTGGAGTCCCGGGATCGAGTCCCGCATCGGGCTCCCCGCTCCGCGGGGAGTCTGCTTCTCCCTCTGACCCTCCCCCCTTTCATGCTCTCTCTCTCTATCTCATTCTCTCTCTCAAATAAATAAATAAAATCTTTAAAAAAAAAAGAAAAAAATGAAAACAAAGGCTGGTTCTTTGAAAAATTAAAATCGGTAAGCATTTAGTCAGGCCAACTAAGAAGAAAACAGAGAGGATACAAATTACTAATATCAGACATGGAAGAATGGACATCACCCAGGTCCCATGGGCATTAAAAGGATAATAAAGGAATACTGTGGACAAACTCTAAGCCTAGATGAAATGGACCAATTCCATGAAAAGCCTAATTTGCCAAAACTTACACAAGAAGAAATTGACAATCTGTTAAGGAAATTGAATCAATAACTAATAACCTTCCAAAACAGAAAGATGGAACTCATTCAGTTGTGAGGAAAAGCAGTAGAGACAGAAGAAATCCTCCAAAGGTTAAATATACTCTCACAGAGCTAAGCCTCAGAAGTGGTGAGGACACTAGCCAGCTGTGTAAGTATCTATCCACTACTGCCCTCAAAGTGCTTTCTTTTCTCTTACTATCTAAAAGGTCAGTAAGACTCCGGGAAACAAACTGAGGGTTGTGGAAAGGGAGGTGGGTGGGGGGATCGGGTAACTGGGTGATGGGCATTAAGGAGGGCACGTGATGTGATGAACTCTGGGTGTTATACGCAACTAATGAATCATTGAACACTACGCTAAAAAAGGGGGGGTCAATAAGAATGTAGGGTCATTCTCAGCCTGGGTCACCTGAATTGATATTCTTGACTAGCTTCTATTGAAAGCGGAGAGAAAACGAAAATATAAATTGAGGGTTTTTTTTCTCTTAATTCATTATTAGCTATTACTAACTAGCTAACTATTAAATTTAAAGGAATTCTTTGGTATTTACAACACCTATAATGTTTTTCTTGTTAAATTCGTTCATAGAGGATGCTGGAATGATTGGCTCTCTCCAACTCTAAAGCAGGATCACTAGGAAGATGAAATAAATTCTCAGCTTTCCTTCTTGAAATGAAGTCTTTTAGTGCTCTTTTGCAGTGCATATTTTCTCCATCAAATAAGTTCATTTTTGAATTTGACTTAACACAATTTCTCATCAGCACCCTGCCTTTGATACTAAGATAGAACTTAAATGTTGAGAGAAGGAAAGGGAATGACAAGGCGTTTTGGTATGCACCACTGGCTAAAGGAAATTCAGGTTGCTGTTGTTAAATATGTGATTTTTCCATAGAGCCTGAAACTAAGTGAAATGACCTTTTTTCCCCTTCCTGTATTGCTTTAACATTGTAAAGCCACTGGCCAAAAGGAAATTTTAATCTCTTAAATATTTGAGAGGGGTCATGTCATAAATGATGTACAAGTTTCTAGTGAAACAGTTTTGTAAAAAACTGGGTTTTGACTAGCAAGCCGCCATCATGTCCTCAAGCCACCATGTTAGCCCCAAAAGATATAACATATTAAACTGTATCTTTATGGATGTATACTGAGTGTTTCTGATGATACCAAACAAAACTGTAAGCATTATGATGAACTCTAGCTGGATGCCAAACTTCTCATGCATAAGCTATTTATTTTATCTGCCTCCTGTAGTATGTTCCTTCACTTCATATTTAGGTGATAAAATATTAATGTAATAACTGGAAGCCATCACTAAGTGTGTGTGTGTGTGTGTGTGTGTGTTTGGGGGGAGGGCAAGGGGAGAGAGAGAGAGAATCTTAAGCAGGCTCCACGCCCAGCACAGAGTCTGATGTGGGGCTCGATCTCACAGCCTGAGATCATGACCTGAGCTGAAATCAAGAGTTGGACACTTAACTGACTGAGCCATCCAGGTGCCCCACTAGCATTTTTTTTAAAGTACCGAGAGGAGTACGTATGGATGTGCCATACACTGTTACCCTGCAGTCATTGCAGTGCTCCAGAACCTAATGCCACCCAGTCATCAGTGTGGCATTTTCTTTTTTTCTTTTTTTTTTTTTAAGTTGGGGATAATGGGGGGTTACCCGTAAGATTTTATACAAGAAAAAAATACACTATTTTATTTTAAAAATTAAAAAGACTCAATCCACAAGAGATTCCTATGACCTTTGCTTTTCTCATCAGCAGGTGATCCCCTAAGTGTAGCCCTGCCTTTTATACAGCTTTTCAACTTTGTGGCAAAATTGCCATCACCAGTTTCTTTTCCATGAACAACAACACATATACATGCCCTTTTAGTTCTGAGAGTGAAAATGACTCACCCTGTGACCTATTCATTATGTGCTTATTGAGTAACTCCTATTTGCTGGAAACAAAGTGCTCATCCTTGTAGATAATGCATTCCAGTGTGGACAGACAGACAAACACAAATAGAAAAGGAAGAATGATTATGTTTGAGGATAGTATTCATGTATGAAAAGAATCCTGTTTTACTGCTTTCTTTTCTGGATGCTGTAGAGAATTAATGTGCTGCCAAGTGTTAGAAAAGTACATGTTGGGGCATCTGGGTGGCTCAGTCATGAGTCCCGGGTCCCGGGATCGAGTCCCGCATCGGGCTTCCTGCTCAGTGGGGAGCCTCCTTCTCCCTCTGCCGGCTTCTCCCACTGTGTGTGCTCCCCCCACCCTTTATCTCTCTGTCAAATAAATAAAATCTTTAAAGAAAAAAAAGAAAAGTACATGTTATTACATCAACCCTGCTGAATCCAGTGTCTGCAGGGAGGATACTTCTTACCAGGATATGAAGATTTGCTGTCTGCTTGTAAGCTGAGTGATAATAACCAAGTGACAGACCATTTCCACCCAAATGTGCCTGTCTTCAACTCTCCTGGTGCTTCTAATTCCCTAAACATTATTTTTCCAGTAAAAGGACACAAGCGAAAGTCAGTGTTCATTGAGTTTTGGTTTTTGATGATTTGCCTCAAAAGACACCTAAAAGGTGCCAGGAAACTTGGCTGTGCCTCCCTCCACTTCCTCCCTCCCTCCATTTTTTTTTTCTGTCTTTGGAGTTGAATTCTTTCACAGTGTTTCACATTCTGATCTATACAATGGCCTTTGCTAATTGTGAAATATCTTTTTTATTTTTAAAGAAACTAATATCAGACATCTTTTTTTTTTAAAAAAAAAGAAACTGATACGGCATACAGTGACTTAGAAGAGTTTATTATTCTCATGAAGATAACTGGCTTATTAGAGAGAGGCCATATAATGCCTCTGTGTTGACCCTTGTCTGAACAGCATTTAACACTGTCTCCTAACACAAACTAAAATATTGCCATACCCACACGCCAGAGAAAAAAGCAAAAGTTATTATCAGGACAAAAAGCATTTGTCCGCTTGAATCCTATTCTTTCCAGTTTGAGAATACCCCCTTCTATTTTGTCCTTGGGATCTCCAGGCAACCCATGATAAACCCATGATAATACTTATATGGTTTTACTGGGCCTTTTGAACAGGGCCACCATGTTTGATATTTCCAGGTTGTGTTGCAAAGCCCTGATTTTGAGGCATACAGATAGCCTGAATTATGTGGATCCTCCTTATATTCCTGATATAACCACAGAAGAGCCACTTTCTAAGTATTCTTAGAGGTAGTAACATGAATTTTCCTGTATTTCATTGAAGTTTCATTTCATGACCTGAGTGCAAAATCTTGAAATCTCTGAACAAAAACATTCACTTGTGCACATGTCTAAATTCTCTTTATCATTATAGGAACCAAGAGTCAACACATTATGGAGAGTAATCAAGAAGTGGGATTAGGCTACATTTCTCCCAGTGAGCTTTCTTCCCAGCAGACCTGGCAACAGGGTGCAGGCGGGTTAACCAGGTGTCAAGATTCCATGAAAAATTTTCAAGGGAATATTTCTCAATTTCAGAAACAAGGTGATTTCCCCTGCCAGCTTTGGGCAGGAGTGCCAATTCATATTTCTGAAGATGAAAACTGTATATTGACTCATATAGAGGATGTTTCTAATTGCCTAAAAAGTCAAGAATTTCCATCTTGGAGAGCCCAGCATTCTTGGAGGAAAATGTATCTGACAGAGTCACATAATTATCAGTGTAGATGTCAGCAAATTTTGATGAAAAATAATTCCTGTAAGTGTGATGGCACCAGTTCGATATCACATCATAATGATAATGTGGGAATACACAGAACAGAAAAAAACTACAGTTGCCATGACTGTGGAGGGAACATCATGAAGGTTTCATTGCTTAATCAAGACTTAATTCAAACAGGGCAAAAGCCCTACCCCTGTAATGAGTACAGAAGAGCCTTCAGTGATGACTCCAGATCAGAAGTTTATCAGCAGTTACACTTGGAAGGGAAGACCCATTCCTACAGTCCATGTAGAAAAGGCTGTAGTTATAGTTCAGCTTTTCATATTCATCAGAGTGTTCATAGAGGAGATGGTTGTGTTTTTGAGAGTTCACATCTGCAATCCCATCAGAGAGAACATAGAGAGGAGAAGCCATGTAAATGTGGATATGGTGAGAACTTCAGTCAGTGCTCCTCTCTTAACACTTGTGAACTTATTCACACAGGGGAGACGTCCTATAGATGCAATATTTATGAGAAAGACTTCAGTCATAGCTTGGACCTTAATAGTATTTTTAGGGTCTGTACTGTGGAGAAACCCCATGAATATGAGGAGAATGGGAATGTCTTTAATCAGAGTTCTTGTCTTCAAGTCCACCAGAAAATCCACACTGAAGAGAAACTATATACAGATGTGGAATATGAGAAGGGTTTTATTTGTAGCTCAAGTCTTAACATCCAGCGTAGAGTTCACATGGAAGAGATTCCTTATAATTCTGAGGAATGTGGTAATGACTTCAGTCTAGCCTCACATTTTCAGGACCTTCAGATAGTCCACACTAGGGAACAACCATATAAACATTATGCATGTGGTAACAGCTTCAGCCAAAATTCTTATCTTCAAGGTCATCAAAAAATTCACATTGGAGAGAAAGCTTACAAGGACTGTGGGAATGGCTTCAACTGGAGTTCAAAACTTAAAGATCGGCAGAGAGTCCACAGTGGAGAGAAGCCATACAAATGCAATGCATGTGGTAAAGGCTTCAGTCATAGGTCAGTTCTTAATGTTCATCAGAGAGTCCACACAGGAGAGAAACCTTATAAATGTGAGGAGTGTGACAAGGGATTCAGTCGGAGTTCATACCTTCAAGCCCATCAGAGAGTCCACACTGGAGAAAAACCATACAAATGTGAAGAGTGTGGGAAGGGCTTCAGTCGCAATTCATACCTTCAAGGACATCAGAGAGTTCATACTGGAGAGAAACCATACAAGTGTGAGGAGTGTGGGAAGGGCTTCAGTCGGAGTTCACACCTTCAAGGCCATCAGAGAGTCCACACTGGCGAAAAACCATTCAAATGTGAGGAGTGTGGGAAAGGCTTCAGCTGGAGCTTTAATCTCCAAATTCATCAGAGAGTTCACACAGGAGAGAAACCCTATAAATGTGAAGAATGTGGTAAGGGCTTCAGTAAGGCCTCAACTCTTCTGGCCCATCAGAGAGTCCACACAGGAGAGAAGCCATACCAATGTGATGAGTGTGGTAAGAGCTTCAGTCAGAGATCATACCTTCAAAGCCATCAGAGTGTCCACACTGGAGAGAGACCATATATATGTGAGGTATGTGGGAAGGGCTTCAGTCAGAGAGCATATCTTCAAGGTCATCAGAGAGTCCACACTAGAGTGAAACCATACAAATGTGAGATGTGTGGGAAGGGCTTTAGTCAGAGTTCACGCCTTGAAGCACATCGGAGGGTCCACACTGGAGGGAAACCATACAAATGTGAGGTATGCACAAAGGGCTTCAGTGAGAGTTCACGCCTTCAAGCACATCAGAGGGTCCACACAGAAGGGAGGCCCTATAAATGTGAACAGTGTGGTAAGGGTTTCAGTGGGTTTTCAAGTCTTCAAGCTCATCACAGAGTCCACACTGGGGAAAAACCATACAAATGTGAGGTGTGTGGGAAGGGCTTCAGTCAGAGATCAAACCTTCAGGCTCATCAGAGAGTCCACACAGGAGAGAAACCATACAAATGTGATGCATGTGGTAAGGGTTTCCGTTGGAGCTCAGGTCTACTTATTCATCAGAGAGTCCATAGTGGTGATAAATTCTATAAAAGTGAGGAGTATGGTAAGGATTATCCTTTATCAGAGAATCCATACGGAAATGAGGTTCTATAAAACAGTTCTATTTGTTTTGAAGTCCTCAAATAGGAACTGAAATTTTCCATTCACTAGAGTTATTATAGTAGAAAAAATTTCTTTAATGAAAATGTAATGTTTCTGCCCAACCTCAACATGCATAATAGACCACACAGCAGAGACATCTAACAAGAGAGTTTCCATAAGGGATTTTGTCACAACTTTTAACAGGCATTGCACATGACTTTAACTATCATTGTACTAGGGCTTATAAAAGATAAGAGTAACAAAAGTACAATATGTGTGTGCCTAAATCCATGACCAGTCTAATGTAAGCTTAGTGAGGGAAGGGGCTTCATTCATTGCTGAGTTTACAAAACCATGACATTGCATAACTCAGTGTAGGTGCTCAGTACTTTTTGCTTAATGACTAAAAATGTATAAAAGTATCATATTTAAAAAATTTGTTAAGCTCATTACCCCCTCCAAAAAAAAAAACATTTAAAAATGTATTTGGAGGAGGAATCCTGCAAGTAACCTTAATATAAGCACTTCAAGTGGGAAAATATTCCTTGAATTGTAGGATGTCAAACAATATTGCAATCTGAAATTACATAAATTTGGCTGTGACCCTGTGGGGACTGGTTCCCATCCTTTGTCCTGTCTTAAAGAGGATGAGCTGAATTCTTACCATTTGGTCTCTTTCTATACAGTATACCATCAGTTTAAGTTTAGTGCTGTGTGTGTGTGTGTGTGTGTGTGTGTGTGTGTGTACACATATGTGCACTTTAAATGACAGTACAAACTGATAAACAATGTTTTTGGTTACACTGCATTTTACATAATTGACTTTTTACTCCTACCCTGTGTGTTAAGGCAGAGTTTTACTGTAATATTTGCAAAGTGTCAGAAATGGTTACTAATGAAAAATACTTTCTTAATAAATGTCAAAATTACAATACTTTGGTTCTTTAGTCTCCATATTGATGTCAAAGTTCTTTGGATCTGACTAATTTCTAAGAGTTATAGCCTTTGTCCAATTCAAACCTCCTTAGGCAGAATCTGTGATGCTTTTGGAGGGGCTTTAATTTTATCAAGTTCTCCATCCCTATCCTTCTCCCACTCACACAAATAAAGGAAAAATCTTAAATTTTTCTAAACATCTTATCAAATATATTGGTTATTAAGATAGGGTTGTCTTTTACTTGCTAGTCGCTATCTTCCAAAAACAATGCATCCTGTTGGTGAGATTGAAAAATACACAAGTTTGTTAGAGAAGAGTCATACTATGTATGTACATGTATATATAGTGCATGTATACTATATATAGTACATATAGTACTTCCAGGTGAGTATGCACATTTTACATACATATGTATGGAAATACTATATCTGTCTATATGTAAAATGTGCATACCCACTTGGAAACATAGAATAATAATTTATGATAAAGCAATTTTAATAGAAAAAATCTGTACAATGGGGGTAATTTTTTAAACTGGAAATAAATAGGGGTTTGAATAAATTTCTCCCAAGTTCCTATAAAATGGAGTTACAAAAAGTAAGTAATCAGTCTAAAATGACAAAGAATCATGCATATTGCTTAGTGAAAATGTGGATTGTACCTTCATAATATCCAGTTAATTTAAGTCTGTATACATATATGTTCAAATACATGCTTCATAGATGATGTATGAAAGATTATGCGTCATCATATATACAGTGGTTTTGTCTGACAAACAAAATTTTGGCTTAGTCTTTTGCATACTTCATTTAAAGCTTTTTCAACTAATTTGCCAATTTTCCTGAAGTAATAAACTACTGAGATATCATCCTCTATAGTTAAGAACTCGTGATGTGATTGCTCTATTTCACGAGATGGCATTATGGCCAAAACTAAAGAATAAAATTCCTGAGGTTAATTTTCAAAATTCCCTGGGTTTTTGAGGATACGGATAAATTAGATGTCAGCACCTTTATCTTTCTGTGAAGTTTCTTTAGATCTCAAAGACCATGCAGCCTAGAATGCCCTAGTACAATTCAGTAGTGTTATATATTGGTTCATTATCATTTTTCTATCAGATTTCCCTCATTGGATGAACAAAGTGACCAAAGTACTCACTTAACCTAGCTTCCAAGGTGCTAGTTCAAGTTGCACAATATCATCAGAAATTGGGGCTTCTAATGCCTTTCTTTACTGTCATCACCTGCAAGGGAAGATCATGAGAGCTCATGGTGGTTTTATCATTTAGGGTGCTTTTAGTTGTAAGTAACAAGAAATATAACTTAGAGTTGCTTAAACCAAACGTATTTCTCAGTTCGTATAAATGAAAAGATACACGTAGGGTAAGACCTGGCTCTGGGTTAGCCAAGGAGACTTTGTATTTCTTGAATTCTCTCACTTCTGTCGTTTTGTGTGAACTCTTGTCTTTAGATTGGTCACAAGATAGTGGTATCACCTTTTTTGCTCACAGCTGAGGGAAGAGAGCTTCTGTCTCATTTTTAGGGTTATGTAGTCCTAGCTCCCCCAAATGCATATGATCTCTGTCCTCTCCAATCTCCACTCAAAACTGAGACTAAACCAAGACAATAAAGAATATCCCTCTTTCCCATAAATAGGCTAGCTTGCTCCTAGCATTAAGCAATAGCCCGCTACATTGGGAAAATGGTAAGAACATGGACAGAGAATCCTGTGGCACACAGGTACACAGGGATGGCCAAAAGCAGAGGGTGAAGGAGGAACATGGAGAAAAATCCTCCAGCACTCCAGCCCCTACCCTAAGCACAAGGTAACATTAGAAAAATTTGAAGTGGTGTACTGAAGATAACTTTTGCAACAACAGAATTTAATTCCAACATAATTCCTGACCAGATTGGTTCACCCTAACATCCTAGCAGAATAGCAGTGCCCAGTTGCAGACAAAAACAGTATTTACTTCAGTCTCCACTGTTTCATTAATGTTATTTGGCATGCAATCAAAAAATTACAAGATGAAAAGAACAAACAATCCTCTGCCAAGCAACAGCAGACTAATTAATAAGTCGCACCTTGAGATGAGCATATTTTGGAAATATCAGAATTTTACATAACTGATTGATGTAGTGAGCGCTTTTGTGAGAATGGCAGACAATATACATGAACAGATGGGGGAATTTCAGTGGAAATTAACAAAGAATCAAATAGGAAATGCTAGAAAAGAAAATTTATCACAAAGGATGCTTTTGAAGGACTCATGAGTAGGCTCAACAAAGCTGAGAAGAGTGTCAGAACTTGAATATAGGTCAATTGAAGTCATCCAAACTAAAGCAAAAAGTGTGAAGAACACAGAATAGAGTATCAAAGAGCTGTGGGAAAATTTTTTTTATGGTCTAATATATGTAATTGGGAATCTAGGAAGAGAGGAAAGAAAGAATGAGAGGAAAAACATTTGCAGAGATAATAGCTGAGAATTTTCCGAAAATAATAAAAGACCTCTACCAGATCCAAGAACCTCAGAGTACCCAAACAGGATTTAAAAACAAACAAAAACTTGACCTGTTATTGCCAAATAGCTGAAAATGAACGAGGCACAGGAAATATTGATGGCAGAGGAAAAGGACACATTACATACAAGGAACAGAGATGAGAAAAAGAGCAGACTTCTCATCAAAAACCATTCAAACCAGGAGTCAACGGAGTGATATCTTTAACGTTCTGAAACAAAATACTGTTAATCAAAAGTTCCTACCCAATGAAAATGTTTTTCAAAAAAAGTATGCAAAATAAAGATTTTCAGATGAATAAAAGCTAATAGAATTTACTACCAGCAGATCAGTACTATAAGAAATATTAAAGGAATTTCTACAGACAGAAAGAATACTATACCAGAAGCAAATTTGAATCAAAAGAGGGAAGAAAGAAAAAGAAAGAAGGCAAGGAAGGAAGAAAGGAAAGGAAGGAAGGAGGAAGAAAGGAAGAAGGAAGGAAGGAGGGAGGAAAAAGGAAGGAGGGAGGAAGGAAAGGAAGGAAGCAAGGGAGAGAGGCAGAGAAAGAAATGGAAAGAGAGAATGAATGAATGAACTTCGAAAATGCTTAAAATTGAGGGAAATGTAAAAGTTTTTCTTATTTTTAATCACTTGAAAATATTCATTAAAGCAAAAATGTGAGCAAAGTTTTGTGAGTTTCTAGCATATATAAGAAGTAAAATGTAACAATACCATAAAACAGAGCAGAGAGAAATTGGAAGTATGCTGTTCTACACTACATGAATTGGCATAATATTAGAAGGTAGACTGTGAAAAATTATAGGTGCATTTCATAAGCCCCAGAACAACCATTAAAAATTTTTAAACTGATATATAACTAATAAGCCTGTAGTAGAGACAAAATGGAATTATTAAAAAAAAAAAAAACTCAATCCAAAAGCAGGAAAATTGAACAAATAACACATGGTCGAAATAGTAAACATTAGCAAGATGGTAGGTTCAAGTCCTGTGATATCAATAATTAAGTGTAGATGTTCTAAACACACTACTTAAAACGGAGATTGTCAGATTGGATAAAAAAGCAAAACCTAACATATGCTATATGTTTTCTGTAAGAAACACTTTTCAAAGATAAACAGGTTAAGTAGGCTAAAAGACTAAGAATGAAAAAAGGTATGCTGTGCTAAAACTAATCAAAAGAAAGCTAGGACTATCTATATTCATATCAACAAAGAATTCATACAAGGAATACTACCAAGGGTACAGCAGGTAACATACAATTCTAAATGTGTATGCACCTAACAACAGAGTTTCAAGATTCATGAAGCAAAAACTGAGAAAACCTTAAGTATATTTGGAAAATTAATTGTTCCCTTAGTAATTGACAAAACAAGATGACAGAAAATCAGTAAGGATATAGGAGACGAACAACATTACCACCCAGCTTGACTTATTTGCCATTTAGAGAACACTTCATCCAACAGTGGTTGAATACACATTACTTTCAAGGGCATTTGGAACATTTGCCAAGATAAATCATATTCTGGGCCATAAAGCAAACCATTACGAAATTTAAAAGTAAAACCATGCAAAGTATGCTCTCTAATCCAAATGGAATTAAACTGTATCAAGCAAGGATACCTGTTGCCAACCACCAGGAGCAGCATTTCCAGAATGTCAACCCATTACATGGCTTGCAGGTGTCAAGGTCCCTGTAAATACTAGGAACAACTTCATGAGAACATTAGGAACATCTTTACGCCTATAAAATTAACAATTACAACAAAATGTGTGAATTCCTTGAAAGACACAAATTACCAAAGCATACACAAGAAGTGGACAGCCTGGATGGTCCTATATCTCCTAAACATTGTATAGAATAAAACCATCTAGCGCTGGGTGTTGTATGCAACAATGAATCACTAAATTCTACCTCTGAAACTAATAATATGGTATATGTTAATTAAATTGAACTTAAATTAAAAAAAAAAAATCCAGCAAAGAAAACCTAGGGGCAAATTGGTTTTATTGGCAAATTCTAGCCAAATATTTCAGGAAAAAAATGATTTTCATTCTAACCAAAATCTTCAAAAA